GGGGAGAAGATGGAAAAATAAACACTTGCATTTCTAGAAAGTGTCTTCTGCAAAAATATAAGCCAACACGGAAAAGGGCACAGGCCCCAGAGGAAGTTCCTTCTAGAACAGACTGGCATGGATGACAGGTCCTCCGCCCACCCCAAACTCCAGCCCTCCTCAGAGGCAGGTCCGCAGCCTCCAGCCCCGCCCAGGACTGGGCCGTCGGCCCCTCCGTCCGTCTCTGAGGACCCCTGTCCTCCGCCCACTGCAGGGCTGGACTCTGTCCTGAGTGAGGGGCTGAGCAGAGGTGCTGGTCCAAGGTTGGGGCAGGGAGGTGGGGTGAAGGTACTGGAGGAGGGAGGAGGCAGAGGGAAGGGGGGGAGGGGGGAGAGCCTGGCTGAGTCACCACCATCACCATCTTCACCATCGAGACAGGACTGAACTTAGTCCCTGGAGGGCAGCCCTGTGTTGGTCTCTGCTCACCACTGTGCTCCCAGCACCCGGCCCGGGGCTGCACACAGTAGGTGTTCAGCAAACATGAGTTAAGCCAACAGTGAGGAGGGGGAGGACGAAGGCACACCCGTCCGGGTAAGCAGCGTGCAGCGGGGTGGCACCTCTCGCTAAAATTCTGAGCCAGCCTGCAAAGCAACACGTGGAATTGGCCGTCACTAACTTGAGTCTGTCGACGGGGCGGTCCCGGACTCCCAGAGGCAGAATGACCTTCACGTTCTGCACAGCAAAGCCAGCACACAGAGCCCACCCTAGACCCCTCCCACGCACAGCTGCTCGCGCAGAGAGAGGCCCAACAGCCCAGCAGAACTTCTGAATTTGTTTCCAAATCTCCAAAAGAAAGGCACACCTGCACTTCAGGGCCCAAGGACAGCCTGGGGACGACAATAGTCCTTTATGAAGTCCAGGTCACCCGAGGAAGTGGCGGGAAGAGCTTGGAGCACATCACCTGCCAGCCCCATCACGTACGTGCTGCGTGACCCGGTCCGAGCTGCCTGAGGGGCTGGGGTGGGATGGAGCATGGGGGACCCCATTACTTATAGCAAAGGCATTCCCAAAGGACCCTCAGATCTTCAGAAATCAAGTTTTGGGGATTTTGTTTGTTTTGAGGGATGATACTGATATTGCCGGAGACAGGCCTGCATTCTCGTGTGGCTTCCCGAAGGGGCTCCAGAAATGGCATCTGCACAAATCCCAGGGGACTTGGCGTGTCCGTCTGAGAAATGGGCCCTTCTCCCCAAACCACACCTTTCCTGCTGCGTTTCATTGCAGGTGGCGGGGGGAGCTTGTTAAGTCTTCCAGTTCTGCCTAGCAGAAAGTAAAAGAAACTCAGCAAAGACACAGATTTGCCATAGAAACAGAACAGAGGTGAGGGGTGGGGGGAACGGTGAAGGTGATTAGAGGTACAAAGTTCCAGTTACAAGACGAGCACACCCTGGGAGCGTATGTGCAGCACGGTGACTGTAGCTAACAGCGCGCTATGGTATTTCCTTCAAAGCTGCTAAGAGCAGAATTTAAGCGTTCTCATCACGAGAAAAAAAACGTAACTAGACGAGGTTCCGGATGTTAACTACTTATGGTGATCATTTTGCAGTGAACACAAATATCAAATTATTATGTCGTACATCTTAAACTAATACAGAGTCATACGTCAATTATAGCTCAATAAGCTGGGGGTGGGGCCCTCCAAGTCATGGCAGGGACTCGATGCTCGTTTTTGGAAACCATCAAAACATCCCAATGAAACAGAGCGGAGTCCTGTTAACTCGCTTACTTTCAGTTCAGCGAGACACCGTCTTCCTTCCTCGTCTTTCTCTGAAACCAGCTCCCCCAGCTCCCCATGTGCCAGCGTCCCTTCTGCCATCTTCTCTCTTTAATCCCTCTCGAGAAATCTTTCAGGGATGCTGGCCGTGTTCCCCTCAATCTCTCATCACCCCGATTCCTTCTCAGTCTCTGCTTTCCCCGCCAAACATGAGCTAATCACCAAAACCAGAGCTTAAAATGGGACTCAAGCTAGGAAGGCAAAACTTGCTGCTTCTCTAACAAAGACAAGAACATGAAGCAGCTTATTTCTGGGGAAAAGACTACAGGGAACATGCAAGATTCTGAATAAATGAATCTCCCCCTCCCGGTTTTAAACCACTCTGGTGGAACCAGCCTCACTCCTGACCCCCCCCCCCCCCGCCTTGTGAAGCCTGTCTCCGGCGAAACTAATTTGGGTTTTATTGCTCTGGCATGTAGCGGGGCCTGTGACAGTTTCACTGTGGCTGGGCCGCTGCTGTTTCTCCTTTTTTAATACCAGCGTGTTTTAATAATAGCGTACCTTTAGGTATTGCTGAAATGTTACATTATTCAGCGTACCCAACGGGAGCGGGAAGGGCCGCGTGTAACTTACGCGTCCTCGGGCGCTGTTTCAAGCTTGTGAAATGGAGGGGTGTCTTTTGGGAGGCAGTTTCCCCCAAGGTCGGGCAAGCGGTTTCTGGAGGAACGGCTGGAGGCTGTGTGGCCCGAGTGGCAGCCAGACTCAACACTGAGAGCTCAGAACCCCCAACACGAGGCTGGGAGCAGTGACCGAGGGGCTCCGGGCCCCAAACCAGAAGTGCTTCCCAAACACAAGAGGACCCCAGCCAGCTTCCGAGACCCCGGGATGGTTAACTAGGCCTGCTCCAGACATTCAGGGCACTTCGGGCCATTTCGTTCCTGAGCTCTGGCCCTTCCAGAAAGCCCCGTTCCCGCACTGAACGTTCATCAAGTCCCTCCTATGCCAGATGCTGGGGACGCAGCTAAGAGACACCACGCCGACGTGTCCCCAGGGGGCTTGCAGTGTAGAGGGGGAGCCGACACGTGCCCTAAAGAGCCCAGCAGGGCTGAGGGAGGGCTCGCACAAGCTGGCAGCTGCACAGGGCAGACTTAGTTTTGCTCAGCACCGCATTCCCAGCACACAGAACACAGCAGGTGCTGAGCCAACGCGTCTGAGTGACTGCCGGAAGGAACGCAGCGCCAGTGAGAGAGACGGGCTGAGGGCGCTCACTCACCTCGGCGGCTGCCCTGGCTTCCCGGAGGAGGTGCGGACCCAGGAGTGAGTCAAAGACTGGAGAGGAGAGGGGGACAGCAGTACAGGGCGACACAAGGAGGCGCAGGCGAGATGTCTCCCAGGGAATGCAAACGACGGAGCAGGCGGTGTGGGACTGGAGGCACTGGGAGATGGCACTGGCCGGTAAGTCGGGAACCAGATCATGAAGCACCTTGAACGTCATGCCAAGGGCGTGAAAAGGCCGCCTGAAGAGCTGCAAGCAGGAAACGACGCAGATCTTAGGAGGCCGGCTCTCACGCCAGTGTGGACAGGACGGAGCGGGTGAAAACCAAGCGGGAATCCTAGCCAGGAGGCTGTCGCCCGGGACCAAGTGAGAAACTGAGAATTGAGAAAGAGCAGATGGGAACAAGTGGGATGGACCGGACTCGGGGAAGGTTACAGCGAGGGGGCTGCAGCTGGGTGGATAATGTAGTTTGCACGTTATCCTTCACACTTTTGCACGTATTGACAATGAGGTAACACAGCCTTTCTAGGCTTGTGGAGTTGAGTTCAGATTTGGACATGTGTTCAGAGAGCCCCTGGCACGTCTGCGGGGATACACGGCAGATGGTTGGACGCTAGGACCGAAGACTTAGGAGACAGTCTGTCTGCGCTGGGGATCGTGGCAGCCTGCCTGGAAGACGGTCCCTATGATCCTCACCTCTTGTCCCCTTGTGCAGCCACCACCCACCTCAGGCTGGACCTGGTCTGCGTACCCACTGGAACACGGCAGAGGTGGTGGTCAATTCTGAGATCAGGTCATAAGAAACATCACAGCTCCACCTCATTCTCTGACTCTGGCGGACCAGGCTGCCGTGTCATGAGGATGCTCAAGCACCACACGGAGAGATCCACATATGAGGAACTGAGGCCTCCCACCAACAGCCAACATGCTGGCTGCAAGCAACCTCACGAAAGACCCTGAGTTACAAGCACCCAGCTCAGCCACCCAGAGATTCCTGAATCCCAGAAACTGTGAACTAATCAATGATTCTGCTGGAAGCCACTATGTTTTGGTGTGATCTATTACAGAGCAAAAGAAAATTAACCCAGGGATTACAAAAATATACGTATAAATGGTGGCTGAAGCCATGGGCATGGATAAGAACACCAAGGGAGTTACCAAAGGGGAAGGGGGAGGAGGAATAAATTAGGGGTTTGGGATTAGCAGATAGACACTACTGTATATAAAATAGATACACAGGGTCCTACTGTCTAGCACAGGGAACGAGATTCAATTGCTCATAATAACCTATAATAAAAAGAATATGAAAAAGAATATATATGTATAACTGAATCACCATGTTGTACACCAGAAACTAACACAACATTGTAAATCAACTATACTTCAATTAAAGACAAAAAAGGAACACCAAGTTAGAAGACAGGAGGGGAGCACAGAACAGGTGCTGAGAGGGCTCACCTGGGACGCTCCAGGAGCTGGTGGGAGAGAAAGGAGGAACAGGGAGGGCCCCCAAAGAGAGGGGAGGCGAGACTGCGAAATACCGCAAAAGCCCAAGGAAGGAGCAGTCATGGAAGGAGGGCATCAGACGCTTCAAAGAGGTCCAGCAGGACTGGACTCCAAGGGAGCCGGCCGACCCCACTCGCCCAGGTGAGACTCGCTGCCTCCACGTAGGGCTGCCAGCTCCATCTCGTCTCGCCCTCACGTGGACATCATGCTCTGATGAGAGGGCTTCCCTGACCACCCAAGCTAACGTGCCGCAGCAGGGCATCCCTGAGCTGGTGTCCCTGGCCTGCAAGACACGGCAGAGGGCAGGAGAAAGGGGAGGGGTGTGAGGAGGGGGCTTTGACCCTTTACTGGGCATGGACTGTGGGCAGCGCCCAGGGAAGCAGTGCGAGGGCGAGCCGTGGGGAATGGGCCGGCCCACCCCCCATCCCGCCCCAAATCGCAGAGGCTGCTCTGTGGACAGATGGCCTGAGAGGTGGGGCAGACATGGCCGGCTCCAGGCTCACCCCCTGTGCCTGCCCCTCGCCCTAGTTCTGAGGAAAAGCACTGGCCTCCAGCTCTGTGACCCTGGGCTGGGGGATGCAGGGGCAAAGGGAGGTGTAGAGGCGGGACAGGGGGTGGAGCTGTGGGAAGGGGAGAGGATACAGGGGGCTGGCACAGGGCGCAAGGAGACGTGGGTGGGACACAGGGGGCTGAGACATCTGGAGACGGACGCATTGGAGGAGGGGGTGCAGACTCGGGGGAGGGGACAGAGGAGGTCAGGTGAGATGGAGTAGAGGAGGGGGGCCGGGGGGATGGGGAAGAGGGGGGTGTGGGGGGGAGCAGGGGGTCCTTGACCACAGCTGCTCAGCCCCGTGCAGCTGGCCCGGCCGACAGTGCAGCATGGGCTGCGGTCAGGAGCAGCTCTCTTCCACCTTCCTCGGCGCCATCCGGTATCTGCGTGGCACAAACAGGGCATCTGGTCATAGGATTCTGATGTCGAACAGCTGACAACTTCTCTCTGAGACTGGCTTTACATCACACGTGGAGCGGACCAAGACCCTAACAGGATTTTAACTTTTGGGAAGTGGAGAGGATGGAGAGTGCTGAAGGGGGACTCCTGGGGTACCCTCTCCCCAAGGAGGACACTTCAGTGCCTGCAGGGACCGGCGCTTCAGGGCACCAATGAGAGGGGTGCTGGGGACTTCTGAGTGGGTGCTGTGGCCTCTGGGTCATAAAAAGCCAGTAGGCCTGGATGAAGACTCATTCCTTGGCGTCGAGTTGCAGGAACCAGAATGACTGCCTCCTGTGAGGCCCCTTCCGGACCCAGGGTCCCTGGGTCCCTGGACCTGGCCCCAAGACCTCCATTCTGTTGTGCACTCAGAGGTCTGGGGGTTTGCCTGAGCCTGACTCTGTCTCCTGGAAGGTTTTTTAAATGCTCCCTCTGTTAGGGAAGCTAGGAGGCAGCGTGTCTGTCCACAGAGCAATGTCCTCCCTCCCAGGGCACAGTGAATGCATCAGAGAAATAACTTAAAATGGTAACATGCTTTAAAATAAATATATCCCTAGCTACTGTCACCATATGTCCTTTGCACAAACATTCTGAGAATTCCCCGAGCGCCCTGCTGTGGGATAATTCCGCCACCAGGAGAAAGCTGCCCTGGTCCTGGCGTGGGCATCGGTTCTCGGCCATCCCCACCTCCCCTGAGCACAGGAGGCGAACGGGGCAGGCACAGCAAGAGGGATTTGAGGCAGAAACAGCGCCCAGAAGGATTTCTTGGCAGGACATGGCATTAAATGCCCACCAGAGCAAGATGTCACATGTCCCTTTTCTTGACAGCCCAGGGGCACAGTGATGCCCACCTCGGAGCCTCCCACGTTGTCACTTGAATGCCAAAGGCCCATCTGCCCCCACAAGTCAGGGGCTCTTGAGAACAGCACCGGCCACAGAGCAGGACGCGGATGCCTTCCTGGGTGACCGCGTGGAGGCAGGGTGATGAGCTGATGACCTTGCCCGGCCGTCTCCCGCCAAGGGCCCTTCTCCTGGCTACCTGCCCCTTTGCGGCCCCCTCCCAGCCAGGCCATTATCCCAGAGGAGCTGGGCTCTCCTGGGCCTGCACTGGCTGTGGCTGTCATGAGAGTCCTGCCAAGGCCAGACCTAAACTCTGGGCTCACCTGCCTGCAACACATCAGCCCCCTCGGCACTTCAGCCCCCTCTGCTGAATCAGGAACTTCCTGGGGAGATGGGGAAGTTCCCTGTCTCAGCCTACATGACGTTACACAGGTTCGTACATTTGTCAACACTGTTCGGCCTAAGATGTGTGCATTTCATACTATGTAAATTACTCTCAAGTTTTCAATTAAAAAAAAAGTCCCCTCCTGGACTGACAATAGATTGCGAGTCACAGTCGCCATCTCAAGTCCCTGCAGCTCGCCAGAGCCCGATCAATACGTCTGGGAAGAAGCAATAATCAGCATAATTATTCTGCAGGTGTCCCACACTCGCCCCAGGGGACTACCACCAGGAGTGACAGGAGGGCCACCGCCGCCAGCATGCCATCACCCCCAGCCTCGGTCTGCCGTCTGCTCGCCCCCTCCCTAGCAGTGAGAAGGAAGGGGGGCAACATGACAGGACAGGAGGTGTCTCAGCCCCAGACCCTGCCCAGGCCGCCCAGCACGCTGGGAGCGGGGACTGGCGTCCAGGCCGGCCTCCTCGGGGCAGTCCCAGAAGAGGTGGCGAGCTATTTCCAAGCCTGAGTCAGAAGAAACCTCGTATGTTTCCACAGTTCTCTTGGGCCCCTGGTCCCAGGAGGGGATAAAAGACACAGAAAGCAGGGCTGCCCCAGCTCCACCCAGCCTGGAGCAGGGCCACTGAGTCCATCTGCAGACCCACAGAGGAGCCCAGCCAAGGTCAGCTGACCCCCCAGTGGACCCAGGGACTGGTGAGCAATGAAGAGAAAGAATTCTTGCTTTAAGCAACTGACTTTGGAGGTAGTTTGCAGGGCAGCAACCGCTAACGGATACAACTTTTCCCCTTCCATTTCCCGCTCCCCTTCTCCCTCCGTCTGTGTCACATGCTGTGTAACTTGTAGTGACGTCGCTCCTACAAAGCCAGAGAAGGAAAGACTTCTGCAGGCAGATCACATGACGCCTCAATTCCCTGCCGACAACCCCGCTTCCCCACTGGAAACGGGGAGCGACAGCGCAGCTCACAGCCCGGGCCGAGGCGTGACCACCGAGAGAGTTCAGCCAGGCTGTCCACGGCCTGGAGCGGCAGAGCCCAGTGCCGGGGATTTGTCTGTCTGTCTGTCTACTTTGAAGTCGAGGTAATGCAATTTTCAGAATCCCCAGGGAGCTGGGCTCTCGGGTGCTGGGGAAGAATGATTTGTCGTGGGGATCGCTGCCCAGCGGAGACGAGGGCCGTGGCGGAGGGCGTGCGGCGGCCGCCCGCCTGCGCGCCAGGGGTTCCACGTGGCTCGCCCACGCCAGTCACTTCCCCTTCAGGCCCGCTGCGGGGGGGCCGAAGGGCGATTTGCCACGGTTAT